ACGGTGAAACCTTGTTCCGCATTCACGTTCGTTTCTGCTTATTAGTCTTTTTCTACCACTTCCATCGCTCCTTCCCGTTGTTTGAGTTTTTTGTCACTGGAATTCTTTGTTCAGTAAATGATATTATTTATATAAGTATAATAGATGAAAACTGGTTAACTGTTGCAATGGAAACAGATGTAAGTTGAAGAGAAATGTGGTTCTTATTTCTAACGATTGAAGTCAAACTATGACGCAAACATATGCGGTATTATCATATTCAATTTTTCAACCTTCACTATATAATTTGTTTATCATCATGTGATTTTTAGAATTCAGCGTGAAATAAATAGATGTACAATAAAAAGAAGTATTGCAAAGAACAGTATCATTCTCGTCGAAGTGCAAAATTAGTACTGATATTTTAATTATGATATGTGGTTCCTAAACAAAACAGTTTCAACTATTGTTTGTGGGGTATTGTTTGTTGTATAATAATTGCATTTGTTATTTTATTTAGCTTTCGTACTCTTCGGTCCTGATCAATATTGAATTTGAATGCATACTCGTCTGACTCGTTGTTCATCAACAGAAACAGTTTTTGAATATATTTAACCATGTTGACACGATGATAATTTCGATTTGTTTCACTGGTTACTTCTTGGTTAATTTTATTCAGCATTTCGTCAGTAGGGGGTAATGTAACTCGACATTTTAATACTCTTGCTATCAGATGAGCTTGAATTTCACATAATGGCATGGGAACAATGTTAAATGGTATTGTTAAATACGCCAGTGTACCTTGGGGATAATTAACATCGAATATGTGGTGATATATTGGATATAAAAAACGTCGATTATCGTATTGCAGTGATAAATTTTTCGATAGAAATGGATAGGAGTAGTCATAACCCGTAGCAAATATGAGAGAATCGGGTTTGACTGTTGAGAGATCCATAAAATGAATCGTATCCTTATCGATCTTCTCAATTGGTGAAGTGATCGAAAACGTTTTGTTGAGATAATCGACACATGTGGATTTCCCAGCTTTTTTTAACAACTGAATAATCCGTTGAAAAGTATTTTCAGAATCCTCGTCTTGTTTCATACTTAGAATAACTCGTTTACACAATGGTGCTAATTCACCACATATATCAATACCACTGTGAGCCGCGCCAACCACTACTACTGTTTGATTTCGATAGTTTTCTGGCTGACGATAAATAAGTGAATGATACACGGGAAATGTTGTTGTAGAATAACCACAAATTTTCGGTATATGTGGTTCACTGAAGTGACCATTGCAAATACATATAGCATCAAAACGATCCCGATAGGTTACATAACGTTCGCTTACATCACATACAATTCGCGTTGAAGAATCTATTTTTGACTCCAAGTTTGATTCTAGGGCCGATAGTAAAGAATTGGGAGCATGCGTTCTTGTTGAGTATGTGACAGTAAACCCTTCCTGTTGCGAATTTTTTTCAACATTATCTACTTTGGTGTTCAATATTAGATATTTTTCTAATCGATGTTGTTCAACATACCGAAGTAAGTAACCTTCGATATCTTTTGCACTGATAAATTCACTATCTTTGTGACCGATAAATGGAAAATCGCTAAACTGCATGACATCACATGGTAAATTTGATATTAAATCGCGATAGATGGCACTTGTGATAGGCGGCTCGAGAGAATTTTGATAATGCCATTGACCTCCAGTGTGAGCTTGTTGCTCAAAAATGACCGGTTCTAAGCCACCATATTCTAATAGAACGCGAGCACAACATAAACCAGATACACCACCGCCAACAATACAAACACGTTTCACATTTTCCTCAACATTCATCTCGATCTGAACTAAAAACAAGCTTCATTTAAATGAACAATCGAGGGCTGGGAGATGGTACAAAGTTTGTCCCGAGATGTTTTTAGCTTACATACAAGGCTACAGCTCTCATTTTAGCTTATTAGTCTTATTATAGTTTCGTACTTTTATATCTGTCACACTTTCAGCCCTTTAAGTATTTTACTGCCTTTAGTCTCGTACACCCTTTACCCTTTTACTACTTTTAGTCTTTTACTCCCTTTACTTCTGATATGCGTGAAACAAAAAAGTAAAGAGAGTAAAAGCAGTGGAAAAGTAAAGGGGGTAAAAAAGTAGTAAAAGACTAAAAGGAGTAAAAAATTAAAGGACATACTCAGTCATTTATCAGTATAACTTTTTCATAACTAAAAAGATCTCGGGACAAACTTTGTACCTTCTCCCATCTCTGGAACAATCCTAAAGAATATACCATCACTTTGAAGAAAAAACTGTGCAGATATTCAAAAGCTCTACGTTTTCCGTCAAGCTATTAGCCTGCCAACAACATCAGAAACCAAAAACCCTATCTTCCAAATAAAGTCAAACCACGACTTTGCACTTTTCATTAACATTTTTCTTTCCCAAAACTTCTCTGACAGCAGTGACACCACTACCAAAGAACACATCTCCGGCATACACGAGACTTTTATTTTTATCTTTACCAACTAAAAAAGTTTTTATCACAAAAATAATCTATTAATTTTCGAAAGTTTCATCAGCAAAAACGATCAGAGAATTCGATCAATCTATCATATATACTATTAACATTTTTTACTGAACAAAGAATTCCAGTGACAAAAAACTCAAACAACGGGAAGGAGCGATGGAAGTGGTAGAAAAAGACTAATAAGCAGAAACGAACGTGAATGCGGAACAAGGTTTCACCGTGTATACTGATGACTAAAAGAATCAATCTAGCGTAAGGAGTGAATGGGCTTGGTTTCCCGTTCTGACTTTTCTCAGAGCATCAAGAAAGTCTTCTTGACATATTGGTCTTAGAGGAGTGTCTTGCTCTTCAAATTGTTCGTGTTGTTGACATAATTCAATCACTCGTTCAAGCGCTGCTTGTCTGCATATTTCATTTAAATCACTTCCATTTAATAATTCTGTCTGTTTCGCTAATTCGTGAAGATCCACATCCGAATTTAAATGTTCATCTTTTAAAATTAATTCTAAGATTTTTAGACGTTGTTGTGCAGTGGGTAATGCGATATTGTATCGTGTTGGTAAACGCCGAAGAATAGCGGCATCCAGATCTTGCGGACGATTTGTAGCACCAATGATGATAATGCGATTCGTTTCGTCTGTTTGCAGTCCGTCCCACAATGTCATAAACTGTGTTTTAACCATACGGGTACATTCGTGATCATCTCCCTGTCTCGTTCTCATGAATGAATCGATTTCATCAATAAATATAATCGATGGTTGCAGTTTTTGAGCCAAGGAGAAGATGGCCGATGTACGTTTCTGACTTTCACCATACCATTTGTCTAATAACGATGTTACCTAGAAAAGTCATTCAGAATTATAATCAGCACAGAAGAGCGGTCAACCTTTGATTTTATACCTGAAGATTGATAAAATTAGCTCCCGCTTCCTTTGCCACTGCTTTTGCTAGCATTGTTTTGCCTAAATGAAACGAAATAATATATATAATTCCTCAGTTCATATCACCGGAGCAGAGAACGGTATAGTCTTAGCTTTTGTTCAAGGCCGCATTCGAAAGAAGAAAACAGTCGTATATTTCAACACTTGAGTTATCTTCTCGAGAGTACTGTTTGACTACTTACCACAACCTGGTGGTCCGTAAAAGAGAACTCCTCTTGGCGGCATTAGCAATTTTGATTTTGCGAATAAATGTGGATGCTGTAATGGATAAATAACTGTTTGTCTTAAATTATCAATGGTTTGTTCTAGTCCCCCAATATCTTGCCATGTTACTTGAATATCATGAGGATTAACAATATCCGATAGAAGACACAGTTCATATTCATTTAATGATTGAATTAGAGTTTTCTCCAAATTTAATTGTTTCATTATTAGTGAAGCTAATTGTTTATGACGTTTTTTTTCTTCATGAGTTGGATCCAAATGTTTTGTTATATAGCGAATTAAGTAATAACTAAATATCATACTGCCCAACAGTGCACAAGCACGACCGCCTAAACTAATTAATAAATCCCGCAGATGGCTATCGGGCACGTCAGGGGTGCTCGTTCGCACAACATCGATTAAACGAGGAACATTTGTTGCTTGCGGAGAATATGCTCGTAATGTTAAGAAAGTTTTTAGACGATTTATAAATGGTACAAACGATTGAGAAGTTGTGGTGGAAATTAAGTCGGATGGTGATGATGTTGGTATGACATCCATGGAAAAAGAATCTGAAATACAATCATGCATGCTTTCGATTTTTTCCATCTGCAACCCGTGTTTTGAGTACCCTAGTAAACAAAATGTAGTGATTACTCTTAGAAGTGATGGTACTTTTTGTCTTATATTTTTGCGAAAAAGACAAAATGTATCGTCTGCACTTTGAAATTTGGGTTTACATGTTGGGTTTCAGCAGAACGTTTTCGTTCGCTGTTAGACAAAGATGAATAGAAGTTCGTCTCTCTGAGATATAGATTTTTCGCTTACTCTGTATTATCAAATGAGTTGAGGTCTTTGCTTATTGAATAGTTGTTGGAACCAATAACATGTGAGTATAGATCCTCGATGAGGAACACTTATGTGGTGTGGATTTAGCAGTAGGGTCCGTATAGAAATCTTCGTTGCGCCCTGAAGCAGTTTATCAGAAACTCGCAAGAACTCCCCAATCCAAATAAACAGAGACGTGAGTGTCGTTTAAGAAACGTTTCAAGTTGAGACTCTCAAGTTTCGCAACGGTTTGACTAACTTTGGGTGGTTAACTGAAGTATATTTAAGTTACTACATTTCATTTTCGTTTTATTTTTATGGTTAATTTAGGAATTTTTCTTTTTATTAATTTAAAAAGAAAACTTAAATTAGATGTTAACTGCTAAACAAGATTTTTAACGGATTAATATGCGGGCTGTCGATGTATTTTGTGATGTATACGAGAATTTCTTCGGTGAAAATTTTTGTATGTAGGTTTTGGATTTGCACAGAACTAAATAAAATTGCATTTCCTGCTTTAGTTTACACAATAGAGGGCGCGTTTTTGTGAATATCTTCGTACGTTTAGCAGCGGCGAAAATAATAAAAACAGGAAATGAAATTCTGTTTGGTTTTTGTGCAAATCTAAAACTTTCATACAATGAATTGCATCGAAGAAATTTTCTTTTATATCCCGGAATAAGTGAACAGTCCATATACTTCAATGAACGAATGTCAAACATATCAACGTGAAGCCAAAAAAGCAAAGTTCATTAAGAGCCGCGGAAAAGTGTTTTTTCGTATTCAGCACACTCAATGACCCAGAAGATTTTCTATTTTTGGCAGTACCCTTCGCCAAAAATAGGAAATCTTCTGGGTTATCGAGTGTGTTGAATACGAAAAAGCACTTTTCCACGACCCTATATGAACGTTATTTTTGTGTCCGTGATATGAAATTGGTCAACTTTGTAACTTAGGACGAAAAGTGCGCGTATTTCAAACGCAGAAATTGGATGTAGTGTAACTTAAAAAAGGAATTTCAACAAAAATTGTTGTGGAGTATAATTAATACAGTTGTGAAACGCACGAGGAGAACTGATCACAGCTATTTTACGAACTTGTTATTTTCTACTCCCTTTTTACTAGTTATAAATTCTGAGTTTATTAGTGTTCGAAGATTACAATAAAGGATTAGCAACGGGCTTCGAGACCGTTACAAGATGGTGTTACTATTTCGGCATAATTTCTCTTAACAGAATGAAATAATGAAAAATGTTTTTAAGAACACTCGAGGCGATTGAAAATTCTTTCAACCTGCCACAAGAAACAAAGCCAAATTATTTATTATGTAATGCATAAAAATACGAAGATTCACATTTACGTTTTATATGAGAAAATTTATTGATCAGGGCTAGCGAAAGATTCGAGAACTTAACTAGAGTGTGCAGAACATGAACAAGTTCACGAGGGGAATGACATCCATGGAAAAAGAATCTGAAATACAATCATGCATGCTTTCATTTTTTTCCATCTGCAACCCGTGTTTTGAGTGATATGGTGAACCCGAGGAATGTCGGAATGTTTTTAGCTATCTCGCACAAAACTTAGTTTATGATATTTTTAATGAGAGCATGTGACGCCATATTTGTTGTAGTTTACTCGCCACAGTTGTTCTAGTTTACTTTGACTTGCATATTTCGTCTTGGGCATTAGCAGCTCATTCAATTTGTTGTTTGCTGCTAGCTCCAAATAGAAACTGTAGGCGCCAAGACCAATGGGAAGATGCTCTTTCCATTATGTAATTACAACCAATGAAATGGCTGAGCCTGTAAAGGTAAATAGCAAGATCGGCACGGGCAAAATTTGTATGGTACAAGTAGCACTGCGCGAGGTGCTAAATTGAAAGATATCACTCGATTACATCGAGAAATTTATCATCGATGGGGTGTTGGGTGTATTGGGCGGGAAGGTTTGATTGGTTCATATTAAAGTTTTGATGATCGGGAACAAACAAGCAGCTAGATGAAGGAATTGAAGAGAAATTAGAATTTAGCAAGTTTGTAGTTCTTCTCAACGAATTTTTAGTGAAAATTGCAAGAATCGAGTCAGGGACGTGATTGACGTCTATGCACGCTCCAGGCATGCTGCTTGATAGCCGGCATGAAGTAATTAACACTAAACAAAAAATGAAAACTGAAAGTAAAATTCACTAATTAACTGCTTTTCATTTCTGAATATCCCTGCTGATCTAATTTTTATTCTGCAGACATCTAGTTAAGGAAAAATATCTTTTCCATTATTTTTTCTGTAGCTGTGTATCATCAGATGACAACGATCTCTGCAGCATATTCTATATGTATCACTTATTATAGGCTGAATGTTTACATCCAAGAATACACGAACGGAAGGCGTTTTCGCCAATGACTGTTAGATAAAACAAATAATCTGCGTGATTCACAGTATCCACCTCGGGCATGCAAGATTAATGCATGTCTCTTGATTCACATACATCTGTACATACATTCGGCTTGCAAGTTGCATGTCTGAAAATGTATGAGACGTGCCTGTGTTCGTGCATGTACAGGCAACGTACGTATCAAGAAATTGGTCTTGGGTGGGAGCGTTAACCTGCACTCACTCTGTCCCTTGACTTTAGGAAATTTTATCTGTGAACGACGTTTCATGACTTTTGCATTCAAGACAAAGCTCGTATCTTTTTTCCATCAGCGTTCGCTAGGGTCGAAACCAGGCATCCGTAATTTTTTTTATCCATAAATCTCTACTATCACTGTAAAATTTCCAAATTTCACGTTGATAGTAGAGATTTATGGATAAAATTTACGGATGCCTAGTTTTGACTGTTCGCTAGTAAACTATCTGAAATATGTTGGATGAATTTTCGCTGTGAAACAAGCACAATGTAATATAGAGCTAAAACGTCTTTTGGACAGCCTCTGAAGATCCTACTAGGACTGGAAGTATTTCTGATCTATTCGGTATGATAGACTATGTATATTATGTAAAGTTTATTATCCGTAGATAACAGTTTTTGTGTTATCAAAGCTGGCTAATTTCTAGCGATATCTATCTCTAACCAGAAAGAAAATTTTGTTAGCTTTTTGGATTGTCCCTTTTTTTACTGAGAAACTGATTTTACTGAACTTTTCTGATTGGGTGATAGAAAAATTTACGCTCTGGTGAATCAGAAACCCAGTTCAGTTCAGTTCAGTTTCTCAGTAAACAAGGAACAACCGCTTTTTGTCTCTGCATCAGTAAACGTTTCAAGTCATCCATTAATAAATATTTTCTCTCCTGTAGTTAAAAATGTTTGTATTTTCTTCCTTATGATTGGTTTATCCATGGAATATCTGACATCAATTTTTCCATATTTTGTGTACACACCCATTGGCCACAACCATCATTTTGCAAAACCCTAGACTAAAGGCAGGGAAAGAATTTAATGTATAAGTAAGACAGTGCTACGCTAAAACTTTGATATCATGTAAAGAAGGTAACGCTAGTCTGTACTCACTCTGTCCCTTTACTTTAGGAACTTATATCTGCGAACGACCTTGCATGACTTTGAATCCAAGGCAACGCCCATACCCCCATTCGGTCGGTGTTCATTAGGAGACTGTCTAAAATATGTGATGCATTTTTCTCTGATTTGATGTCTAAGGTTCGTAATCTAATGTGAACCTAAAAAGTTTTCTCGGAACCCTTCGAAGATCCTACTAGGTCTAGAAATATTTTTAAAGTTCAAGCAATTACACTTTCCCCTAATTTGAAATTTTTGGTAGTCTGTGATTTATTATGAGATCAAATAAAACATCACTTCACTAATTGTGAAAATCCTAATTTCTAACGAAGAACTCAAAGGGCTTCGAAATCACAAACGATTCTCATTTTTTGAAAAGAACAGCTCATCAGATATTGTTTTTCGTTGCTTATTGTGTTGTAAGTCATCCACCCGTAAGGATGCGGTAAAAATGTCTCGGAAAAATTGTCATTAGAGAAAACTCTTTATTTCTTAAAATTTAAAAATAAACTGTAATCGTTGTTGAAATAAGAATGGAATCAATAAATTGAGTTAAGTTTGACAAAAAATTATATTAAAACTGCATAACGCAGTTTTTTTATAGCGTTATAACATATTTACATTATATGTTAATGCCATAAACGTCCGCCAACTTATTTTTAAAATCTTTTATGTTTTCGAGGAATTTGTATGTCAGTATAACGTTATATAATTCATGTCATGACAATGACATTGAACAGCTTACCATGCGTTACTACACATTAAAGTTATTGCATTATAACAACATAGAGTAGTTTCTGTACCTTTCGACAAGAACTTTTTCTATAATTTAATGCGTTACAAATTTATATAAAGCGCTATAATTCTATAATTTTTAGTGCATTATAATACATTAGTATTAATAACTTTCTTTCATAAGTTGCGAAGTCCTCAAGTCCCATGTGTATGTTTGATATCAAATTTCATGTTCCTTAGACCAAACTTTTCGAGAGCAATCGATCAAACTAAATTCCATTTAGAAGCATTCTGGACCCTATAGAATGCCATTTTCGTTTGTGAAAACACGTATGTCGTTATAACGCAATCAAAATAATGTATCATAATTTCTCTATATTATTATAATAAGATACGCAACATCACTATCGCATGGTGATGAGATAATGATGTGTCGGAATAATAACACAGTAATAGACAGGATGCCGTTATAATGAGATACTACTAGAGATGTACTAGATAAGTACTAGGGGTACCGCTGATGCCGCCACCATAGGCAGAATGTTTTTTTAAGTTTTTGGTCGCCACGGATAAAAAATCTTTGAAGAAGAATTATTGAAAATTCGAACTTTTGTACTAGTAATGTGCAAAAGACAAATAAAGATATTTATCTCTAAAGTATTTTATATGAAGCATTCATGAACGCTATTTGGTTCTTCTCGCGTCTCCGCTTATCACTATTCTGAAGCCCACTCCCCTACCTCATCAGTATGATGATTAGTCGTTATGAAAGCTACTTTACTTTACCTCATGAACTAAATACTAGGTATTAAAAATTTCCTACCTTACCTTATCACATTTTGAGACTTCTCAGAAAAGGAGAAATTTTTCTAGTATAATAACTGTTCTTAAAAATTTTCACACCGCAAAATGTTTTTGGGAATAATGATTGGCAAATCGAATAAGGAAATTCTGTGCTATTTGAAACCTGAACAATATTATTGAGAAAAGCGCTATATTCTATGAGAGTGAATCGCAACGATATTATACACTTCTAGAATATACATAAATTACTTTTATTTGATTAAAATGTATTAAATTATTTTTAAGCTTTATTGTACTTGCATTACTGGAGATATCACTTGAGAATAACAGATCTTCGCGGAGAAATGGAAAAGTGAAAAAGAGAGAATTTGCGGAAAATGAATGTGAAGAATACAACGAGTTGTTGCGCGTGTCTTCTAAATTAACAATTATTAGCCAATACTCTAGGCTTATTAGCGTACGTATAAGAGAAGGTAAATGTGCCATTTGCTAATGGGTAAGCTTTTATTTCAAATTCTTCTTTAGCAAGCGTTTCGAAAAACCATTGTTCAATTGCCATCGTAATGTAAGCATTTATCCGATGATAAAAAGTCAGGATTGACTACCATTGTGAATTTATACAGTCTATTTATATAGTTGTTTTTAAAAAATCAGCCTACTGGTATTAACCGTCTTAAAGAATTCGCGATTGTGCACCGTGAAATTGCAGTTTTGTCTCCAATCGCCATGAGCTGTGACGGATCGATTAGCTGATCAATCAACCAAAAAAAACCCTCATAGAAAAAATAAAAAACCTCATAGGGAATTAATTCAATGAGATATCGCTTCAATATATTTGGCTCAACATTATCAGAGGGAATTCATATTTTGTTTTTTACTTAAATATTGATATGTGATGTACTAAAAACTCAATTTTTCAATGAAAATGCAAAAGAAGTGAAATTTTCAAAAGCGAATAGAGTTTTTTTCATAAACAACTATTAGTGATAAACACGTTTTTTTTTTGCTTGTTCTTTTTGATTTAAGCTTTATTCTTCCAGCATACAAACGGAAATGAATCCGTTATAGTATTTCAAACTTGAACTATCGAAAAACATAAAATTAATGTTATACAAAAATACTTGTTTCTTCTATAAAAGTAGTATGAAATCAACTTTTGAAATATTTTATCTACAGTATTATTAATTTGTAACGGAATTCAATAGTCTTTTGGTCTAAGATTATGTTTACTGGTCTTGCTGACTTCGATGTATGTGCCATCTTAGATGTTGTTGATTTCCCACATTCTATTCATTTTTTAAACACTTATATTCGTCAAGGAGAAAAAACGTATCTTGTTTCATATTAAATAAAAAGGTAAAGGAAAAAAAAAGAAGTTTGTCTCGTAAAAGTTAGTCGAGCGTACATGTACACGTTGCATATATAACTGTTTCTTTTAACTTTTTGACTTATCTCTGTCTCTTTCAGACAATATGTAAAGATCTATAATTTCATAGAAAAAAAAAAGGAACATAATTCATCCATTTGTTAAAAACAGATATGTTTTTATTTGCCCTTGTGTTTTTAATAATTTCTTGTATTCTACTACATTTATATACGAGACAAGTACAAACACAAAGTAAAGATCCAGCTTATAAAAAATTCCAACAAACATATTTACTTGTTTATCTTCTCGCCGTTGGTAAATATTAAATAATACATCTTTTTTTTGTATTAAAAAATAATATTAATAATTGTTTCTTTAATCAAGGCGGTGATTGGCTTCAAGGTCCACATGTTTATGCACTGTATGAAAGTTACGGCATTCAAAAACATGAGATTGAAATATTGTTCATTGCTGGATTTGGATCATCGATGATTTTTGGAACACTCGTTGCGTCAATGGCAGATAAATAGTAAGATTTGAGAAGGAGAGATTCGACATAAAAAAAGAGTAAAAATAAATAACATAAAGAAGTTTGATTTATATAGATCAAGTTGATAAAAGTATTTCGGACGTTTTATGAAAAGATGTTTTTTTTGTACAATAAATGATACTTCTTCTATCATACGGATATTTAATTAACCATTTTCTAAAACCTTTTTTTGTTTTTCTTAGTGGCCGACGGAATACATGTCTTATGTATGGCATATTATATGGCTTATCGTGTGTTACAAAGGTATACTTTATCATTTTACTGCAACTGCAGATTAATTATTATTCTTACTTTTGTTTTTGTTTTTGCAGCATTTTTCAAACTTTTATGTATTGTTTACTGGACGTTTACTAGCTGGTATGGCAACATCGATTCTGTTTAGTGCATTTGAATCATGGTTAATCAATGAACATCGAAGAGTAAGAATTTCGAGATTTACATATGAGTTTGAATAACTTTTTAGTCTATTCCTTTTTAAGAGAAATTTTGAATCGGAAACATTGGGCATGATATTTGCGAATGCCTATTTCGGAAATTCAGTTATTGCAATTATTTCTGGAATAATTGCTCAGTTAGCCGCAAATACGTTTGGTTATGTGTAAGTAGATCGTTGACTTCTTGTCTCTCTCATTTGCCGTTCTTTTCATACTGCACATAAACTCAAAGTTTCATTAAGAAAACGTTTGCATTACTTGTTTAGAAACATCAACTAAGTAGAAACGATTGTTTCAAAACAATTTATTTACTAATATATGACTTGAATGGAAAAACTTTTTTCGTTTTTTTAGTGCTCCGTTTGACAGTGCCATTATCTCATTTATTGCCATGTGTGTTCTTCTTGTAACAACATGGTCAGAAAATCATGGGGATGCTAATGCACCATTAACACAATCTTTCATATCGGCATGGCATGCTGTCAAATCTGGTACATAAATTGATGAAAATAAAATAAAAGATGATATATAGATATATACACACTTTTTGTTGTTTTATTTAGATCGAAAAATCTTTTTACTTGGTGCTGTACAAGCTTTATTTGAAGCATCAATGTATGTTTTTGTTTTGGAGTGGACTCCCGCATTGACACAAGCTTTAAATAAGCCAGTCAATTTAACTGATAGTAAAAATCCGCCGATTCCACATGGTTACGTATTTGCTTCTTATATGGTAAGAAAAGAAAACATCTTGTTAATTTTCAATTTAAATATATGTATGATTTGTTTTTAGGTTGCTATGATGATGGGTTCGAATTCATTTAAAATATTGTGCAACTACACAATGCCTGAATCATTTATGAGGTAAGTACTAATACTAGTGGATGCAGAAAACTCAGCAAATTTTATTCTCCAGTGGATTGAAAACTTTAATTCACGTAAAAAATTAAATATGATATTATTTTTTAGCTTTTATCTTCACTCTATGATGGTACTTTATTTTTATTTAGATATATTGTCATTATTTCGGCTTGTTGTATTAGTGTTCCAGTTCTTATGCCTACGGTAAGAATTCAAACGCCTCATAAAAATCAATTTTTATGATTAGTTTTTTTCAGGGTCAATTGATAATGTTTATTGCATTTCTCATATTTGAATTTTGTATTGGTGTATTTTGGCCAGCAATGGCAACAATGCGAAGCAAATACGTTCCAGAAGAAGGTTAGAATTAGACATGACCGACCATCTTCTTATATTTATTACTCCGTATTTTTCAGCTCGTGCAACCGTAATGAATTATTTCCGTATACCATTGAATCTCATCGTTGTTGTTTTATTATTGAAAGTATGTAGATTAATTCGAGGGTTTTGGAATTGTGCAAAATTTGTCCTGAGATCTTTTTGATTTTCGCACGTAATAGGCCATCTGTTTCGCATTTCGAAAATCCAACATTCAATACTGTACTTTACATCTTTCGGAGTATAAAGTGGAAGCAAAAAATTTAGGAACAAAAATATTTTCAATTTTTTTCGAAACCACATTAGCTGGACGAAAGGCAAAAACTGATTTGGATAGCTAAAAATATTTTCGATCAGAAGAAAAAAAGCAACATTGCTAGCAACTTGATCGTTAGAAAGCTAAGATTTAACTTTGAGACTTAGGAAATTAGGGTTTTCTGAAATCCTAGCGTTCGAAAGCTCAGGTTGCCAGCAATGTTGATGAAATTTTCATATGTGCCTTTTTTCTTCTGATCGAAAATGTTTTTAGCTATTCAAATCAGTTTTTGCTTTTCGTCCAGCTATCGTGGTTCCAAAAAAAAATCGAAAATACAGTCGCGGTCAAAAGTCTCGTTCCACTTTTTTATTTTGCTTATTGTATGAAAAGTAAAGAACATTAATTTAATATCATTATATGTGTATATAGCTGATGCAGTACAGTACCTAGATATACGATAAGTCTCTATTTTCTTAACTGGAATTCACCTTTTATGCAATAAAAATATCATATTTGGCGTCAGCATCGAAAACTGAGTCGAATGATATATGTTTCAAAATCTTTCGTTGATTTTCCTTTTTTGGTGAAAATCTCAGTAATTTTCAGAAAAAAACAAAAGTAAACGGTTAGGATAAAAAAAGTACATCATTCGACTCAGTTTCCGATGCTGACGCCGAATATGATATTTTTATTGCATAAAAGGTGAATTCCAGTTGAGAAAATAGAGAATTACAGACAGAATTCTGATCTTTTCGCTGCTGTTTTAGAAAAAATGTATTCTTTTAGTGATAAAAGAAAAAAGCGATCCGTACTTTTAAAGCTCGCTTAATGGCGGTTCTAATGAATTTAAATAAGTCATAAAGAAAATGATAAAAAGTAAAAAACCTGCAAAAATGAAGATGCTTTGAATGAGATTGATTCATAACCAACAGACGAAAAAAATGTGTCTACTTTTTTCATAAAATTTTAAATCAGCCGTTTTCTTACGCAGTTTCTGATGCTCATTCCATTGATATGTCTAAAAAGAAATTTCATCCATTCATTACCGAGGTACAGAGTTTACATATTGATCATGTCAACTTTACCTTAAAACTGATCTGCCGACCCTGAGAAAGCCTTCTTTCGAAAACCTTTTTTACAAAAATATTCATTATCTTCTCCGCTTTCCGCTGGTATAGTTTTCATGGCTTTGAACTTCTTTGACGGGTTAAAAAATCAGTAAAATATCATAGATCACATGCGTGTGCAAAATGTTTTGAAATAAAAAGATAGCTCCCTTTCTTCGTATTTATTTGTATAATGTATTAAAACACTGCATACATGCATCGTATATCTAGGTACTGTACTACTCATCAGCTATATACATATATAATGATATTAAATTAATGTTCTTTACTTGTCATACAATAAGCAAAATAAAAAAGTGGGACGAGACTTTTGACCGCGACTGTATTTTTGTTCCTAAACTTTTTGCCTCCACTTTATAAGTTTGTCTATTTTCTCATTTTACTTTCTTATGTCTGTTATACGTTTAGACCATTTACTGTCTTTTAGTCTCCGTACACGTGACGTGTGATTGACCGCAACTTGTACCTTACGAAATGACTGAAAGGAGTAAACAACTAAGACATATTCAGTTATCCATCACTATACGTTTAAAAGATCTTGGGGCAAGTTTTGTAATTTGCTCTGCTGATATTGTATTCTATCAGAATACAAGCGGAAAGATATTCCATCCTAGTATTCTACTACAATGAAAGTACTATCGAAAACCACAAAATCAATTTTGTACGAATAGAGATTCGAACATATAAACTTAGCTTTGCAGTAAACTGCAAAACTAAATCCACTGTTCTGTATCTATATTCTGTAGAACGATTGACGTTGTACAATCGACTCAATGTTATCAGTAGTAATTTGTTTCTGATATGTTTTTTGTGCTCTATTTTTGCCTGATTTTGTGCACGTAAGTCAAACAGATATTATTTTTATTTTTTCTATAGGATCTAAAATTGATGGTTATATTTACAACTTGTGTAGTATTTTTATTTTTGGCTGCAATCGCAATGTTTGTTTTACACAAGTATGCGTCTTTTTTAACATCATTGGAATGAAAACAACATTTTACTTGACTGAGATTTTGTTGTTTCTAGGCTAACATTACGATCAACTCAGTTGTCACCAGCAACAAGTGTATTAGCACATGAAAAACATCAAGTGACAAGTGACGATCCTAAATTATTGGGTTCTGATGTTAATGATGAATCACACAGCAAGCAAACAGCAGACTCAGTAGCTTAAATGACGATTAATTTCTATAACAGTATTTTTTTTGAATCTCACTAATCTCTAATTGTTTATTGTTGATGCTTTGTTTTTTGTTTACTTTGCTCGGTAGCGATTTAGAATGCCCCTTGCCAATTTAAAATGATACACCTTTTTTCTTAGGCATTTAGACAAGATATCTCGTTTTATAGATACGCTCTATTTATTGACCAAATGTTTCAAATATCTCTTAGTTCTATTTTCTCAGTAAAATGAAAGGTGTGATAGAATAAATCAAATAGAATCAAATAGAACAATAGATAAAATCTACCTCAGATAAAAGAGATATGATATGATACTAAGAAAAGAAAAAAATATATTAAAAGTTATGTAATATAGCAGGTATCAAATATCTGCTTAGATGTATCTTGTGCGAAAAGAGTGTTGTTTCGTTATTGGCTAGATGTCTATTCTTTGAGGATAGCCGTTGTGGTTTTTTATAGACGATTTAATTTCGGAATAAGCAATGATGAAAAGCTATATTAATACCTCTTTAACAAGTTTTATTGTAGTATTTTATCTCATGTTGGGTTTCTTTTTTTCTTTTTTTTCGTTTATGAAAACTGTGATAAATGTATTTGTTTTTTGTTTAGTGAAACTGTTGACAAAACTGTATCTAATGACTTTTTCGAACAACTTGTCGTCAATGTTTCTTCTGTGATACATTTCAAAGATTCTGATATTGAGACTAGAAAACACTTTCATAGTTTTGTGCTTTTGTGATAGGACTATTTTTTCTTTCCTTTTTTTTCTTTCTAAAACTATATAGTTGAGTAATTTAATTATTGTGAGTTAAAAAACAGTATTTTAAAACCTTTCGATTTTTATTATATTTAATGTGCTTTTAAATACTTAATAAATGGGATAATTACAAACAAAACAAAAAATCATGGTTAAAATATTTTTTATTTCGTCGTGTTCCCATTTAAACGTAATGACAACGAAATTCTAATTTATAATGTCTTAAAATGCGTTTATTGAAGAAGGAAAGTCAGACTATACAATATGACAGAAATCCTTCGTGAGTGAGAAACGAGCTTCCATGCATTTTATCTAGTTTGAGTTATCTTGTTTTTTAATTTGAACGTGTATCGAAAAACACGTACACAAAATGGTATTTGTCTGTCATGAATGAGAGGATTAATTATTTAAGTTTTTGAAATTAGTTGATACACTTTAATATCTTAAATTCTTCTAGTTCACTATTCACCGATTATCCTTTGTTCTCTCCTTTTTTACCGTCGTATGGAATTTAAACTGTATCATAAGATCAAGGTAAGCTATTGTGAAAATGACATCAATACCATCAACGTTTATACGTATTAGATGTCGGCATCATTTTCATTCTAGCTTATCTGGACCATATCATAAGAATTATTTTTTCTGTTCTGATTTTTCTAGAGAATACCTTTCTCTTGGACAGTAAGATAGTCTCATCTATTCTTTTTAAATAGCTAAATGCATTCGGTATATCTTAGAACTTTACAACTGTTTTCACATGCGTTGAGTCATGATAAACCGCAGCGGTCGGGGTAACCTGACTATACTCAACTGTGTCTTTTTCTTCATTTCTCTCTTTTATTTATACTAAAATATTGCATCATATATTATATTTTTTTGTTATCATCTCGTTCTCTTTTCACATTTGTGGTCAACATATGGATCACTTCGTGACCATGGATATATTTATAGTCCACGCATGTTCATTACGTGATCGATATATAATCAGGACCTCGACCCATTCTTGTTCAATTGAAAATATTTCGTTCATCTCTGATATCACTATTATTTCTAACTAACTAAAAGATATTGAAAACATGCCTGAATATCAAGTATTAACAGAAAATATTAGTATTAATTTTAATTATACGTTAGTTTTCATAACAACTGGTCTCATAGGTTTATGTTACAATTTCAAAATCAAAATTCGACTATGGGATAGACTAAAATTGTACGTATAACACAATAAAAGAAAGAGCGACAGAGAGTAGGACCAAAAGAGAAACAGACTGTTTCCAATATGTGTAGCTATAGGTCCATGTGTTGTGGTTTGATTTTAAAAAAATATATATGTTTTATCTACAATATTTGTACAAAGAATAAGGTTGATGTATAATAGATAGAACTAAAACGACGAATAAGTCGTAAAGTTTCTTTCATTTGATAGAAAACATGATTTCATCAGGGACGGTCGACGATATCAAGTTGAGGTAATTAAATTTTTGTATTCCTGCATGTATGGTATTATTTAATAAGCTCATATGTAACAGAAATATCGTTAGTTTGGTTAGTCGTTAAGTCGACTAAGTAGAAAAAAAGGAGACTTTTTCGCAGTTCTACACCAGATTCTTGGCTCTTTATAAATGAAGAAATACTAATCATCCGCTTTGAATTATGAAAATAAATATTGAGTTCTGAAATTCTTCTATGCGAGAGAACATAATAACGAAGTAGTTTGTAATATTTCTGACTTTTCGACATATTAAATTGTTTAAATTTACTACATCGTTTATTATTGACTGTTGGAATCTTTCAGTTTTTCACAATTGCATTTAGCTATGTTTAGAATATTACTGAACTGTAGAATCAATTTAAAAAATTTACAAAAAATTTTATAGTTAACTAAAGGCTGATGGATTAATAATCTCTAATTGTTTCTTATCAGAACCAATTCAACTCTTTTTTGTTACAATGTTTTATCGCTCGTTCTGTCTCATCTTTGATCGTAGAGATTTGAAAAAAACATTGTTCACATTTTCAGCAGTTGTAGATAACACATCTAAAATTATTTTTTTACCATTTTTAATTATGATATAATTAGATGCGCAAACGCGTGTATTTTATGAAAAGTTGGAGATAGATAGTTCAGTAGAACAATTACACCTTGTCTAGTTCAAATTTATAATGAATAAATGAATGATCACAGACTACTTTATGTTTAACATTGCAGTTATGTGTGAGAACGTTTTTGTGGTTTGAACTATAGAAATAATATGCGTTCTCGCTGAAAGATATTGAACTTCATTAAATACGTTCATTAAACTCTTTGAAATCCCATTAGAGAATTGTAGTGAAAAAGGTTCATCGCTTTTCACCGTAAACACCAATTCTTTTTTCACTACGTACCAGCCAGTCACATGTTCCCAGTGATGCCTGATCGTAGACGTTTATTAAACAGATATGTCGAATGTTTTACTGATGTGAATGAACGATCTGAAGTTATATTGACAATATGCTATTTTTTAGCACGTAAATTCAACATTGACTAACAGTTAGTTTTCAACAGAAAAAACATTCAGAACGATTCAAAATGTCTGCCGCCAACTTTTAAAAACGATAATTAATCTTAATTAAAATTGTTGCTCTAATTTTAAATTTTGAATCTTGACTTTAACAAACCGGAGCTAGACTCTACTTTTTATTCATTAGATCGAACGTGTGCAAGTAAAACTACATAATCAATCGACAACAGGGATATTTTTTTCATCGTTTCTTTTTCAAAAAACTTGAGATTTAGAAATAAAAAACTGTTGAAACAGTGTCTTTCACCTTTAAGCTATTTAGCAATGACTGAAGAATATGTCATTTAATTCAGTTTGATATTACTCTTTCCATTGAAGCACAGTGAGATATTTTGGAAAAAAACATCCGATTGTAATAAGATGGCATCTAGCGCCCTAGACTGGTACGCTATTTTTTTTGATCAATAATATTGCAGCTTTTTGACGAATCAAAAAATCGAAATAGACAATCATCAGCTAGGCGCTATTTTTTTTGGCAGTAGTCATCAGTTTTCTGATGACGTATTAAGTATTTTTCTCTTTTTGACATGCATGTAAAATTGAAAGTTTCCAGAACACAATTTTCTTTGCTTCAAGAACTCCTTATTGCTACTATATCTGAATATAAGCGTATTTATAAATAAGGTTATGATCTTGTGTAGATAGAAGCCGACTCATTTAAAGAAAAAAACCTACTTATGTTTAACGTTGTTTCAGATAGCAGTACTAAATAGAATAGATGAATAGTGGTGCTAAAATTGGTATTAAAGTAATTCACTATTTAACTTACTATGACTAATAAGTCGCCGCAAAGACCACAATCTACAAATCTGCATATTTGAAATTAAAGTTTATTTAACATATAAAGTACTAGGTAGTGGTCCTAGATATGATGTTTTTAAGGAAGTTATGTATTCACAGTACATAATTACAGTATACATTCACTCTGTGCTCTCTTAGAATGAGGCATTGTTATTTTTTACGAGATGTAAAAATTCTAAAAAAATGCCTCCCTTAAATGGTGTCCGCCTGTATCATTATCACAGTTGATTTCTCTGCTCGATATAAAATGTAAATCCTTGTGAATACCAATAAAAGGTTTATGATTGTTCTAACTTTCGGATTGTTGTTTCACTCAATCGAACTTTAAATGTTTTTCAAGCATCGTTAAGTTAGTTCCCTGATCTTTCATACTTTCTGAATTTAATAGTAAACATATAAATATTGTGATCAACCGTTTGGGGTGTAGCAACAGTAAAAGTCTTATTCCGTTGTGCTGTTGATTGTTAAAGTTACTTGATAGATTCATAATTTTCTTTAAACTGACGAAGTGATTGTTAATCGGAAGACTTTATTACACGATCGACATAATAAATCCTTGTCGAAAATAATGTAATTTAATACCTTGATAGTTTCCTTGTTCTGTTGACCTTTTTCTTTTCTTTTTTCGTATTCCTGTACGCGCATACACAGGCGCCGATAACAACATTTGTTCTCCGCGTGTAATAAAAATTCAAAATTACACAATGCTTTTCGGTTATTTAAGTGCGATGAGTCCACAATTCCACTTCGTCGAAAGAGGATATTCCACGATTTTTTTAAGTATGGTCATCATCGAATAGATATAACGAATAGGCGAAAAGTGCTGAGTTCTTGGAGGATAATCAGTTGTTTATTCACTTATCATTTTAGAGTAATCCAACTGTTTGTATTTTTGTTACGAACAATGGCTAATACTGCTCATGTATTTACTGTGATCACAATTCTATGTTTACCAATGATAACAATTGGATCGCTTGTTTTGTTATTAGCTGCATTAAATGCATCTATGGGTGTTAGAAAAGTTTATGTTAAAATATTAGCATTCACATTTGATTATGCCACAAGAATTAAACGAAATAAAGAAATTGATCTAGAAGCGTCTACAACGGTAGTCGACGATCCGCCTGATAAAGAACATTTAGTGGAACCAATCACTGAACAATCTAGAGAAGACGTGCTTGTTGATCCAGAAACATCAATGGTCACCTCATTAACAGTATCAAATTCACCATCAATACAAGAGACTGATACCATGCATCACCAAGAATCAAACGAATTAAGATGGAGACGGCCACAAAAGGTAACAACAGATGAAACCGATTTAGATAAATCAACGGGAAGTAATGGACAAGGTGTTCAATTCAAATTTGGTATGTTTGGGATTTGTTTAAGAGAGATAAAGATTTTTGAATGATGGGATCAATTCACTTTACTTTGTTTTTTATTATTCTAGATGATATAGTGGATTATACTCGTCAAGGTTTAGAAGCGATTGTTGATGATGAAGTAACAAAACGCTTTACATCGGCTGAAGAAATGGCTGTATGGAACTTGTTAACTCGTACTCAACAATCACATGAATTATTTTCATTACGTGTATCACTATTATGGTTTCTTGGATTTATTGTTCGTTATTTTATTTTATTTCCATTTCGTCTATGTCTCTTTTGTTTGGCCATTTGTTGGATGATGGCTTCGGCATTATTTCTCAGATATTTTACTAATAAGACAACAAAACTACGTATTGGATTCTACGTTAACTTGGTTTTACATCGAATTCTTTCACGAGTATTTTCAGCTATTATCACATTTCATAATTTGGAAAATCGAGCGAAGCGTGGTTCCATTTGTGTAGCCAACCATACAAGTCCTATTGATGTTATTATATTGTCAACGGATAATGGATTTTCAATGATTGGTCAACAACATGGAGGATTTTTTGGTCTCGTACAACGGACACTATCACATACAGCTAAACATATTTGGTTTGAACGAGCAGAAGCCAAAGATCGACACATGGTAACAGAAAAAATGACAGAACACGTATCAAATAAAGAAAATTTACCAATATTAATATTTCCAGAAGGTTAGTATAGATAAAAAGTTTTTTGAGCAATCTTTTATAATAGAAAGATGGTGTTGTATACTAATTTTCGTTTTTTGTTTTGTTTTAGGTACATGTGTCAATAACACGAGCGTAATGATGTTTAAAAAAGGTTGTTTTGAGATTACCGAAGCTCCGATTTATCCTGTTGCTATTAAATATGATAATCGTTTTGGTGATGCATTTTGGAATTCAACGAAACATGAGTTATTTCAATATTTAATATTAATGATGACATCTTGGGCGATTGTAGTCGATGTTTATTATTTGAAACCAATGCAAATTCAACAAGATGAAACATCAATTGATTTTGCGAGAAGGGTAAAAGCAGCTATTGCTAAACAAGGTGGATTTGTTGATTTGGATTGGGATGGTGGATTGAAACGGACAAAGCCCAAAGCTGATTTCAAAGCGGAAGAACAACGAAAATTTTACGAAATGTTAAAAACAGAATAAATTAAAATGTGTGTAAAAACTTGTCTATATATCTCTAGTCATTATCCTGTTGTGACATGTTTTGTGGAAGGAAAGTCTCTTGCTCAATCATATCTTTTTTAAAAAAGCTTGAATCGCACTTAAACAACTACACTGCAATTTTTTTCTTTGTGCAAAATTTTTATTATAGAAAACTATTTTCTAACATCTGTGAAGTGTCTCTATGGTGATAGATCGTGTTACACATTATGAATATTGATTATCAGATCATTCGAACGTGTGTAAATCAAATTTAGCCTTTTTTACGTTCTTTTTTCTAGCAATATTGCTCAAAATAAATTTGTCTAATAATGGAATGAAGTATTTGAATTTCATGGGAGTGAACAAGTCTTACTGTAGTAAGAAGATTAACTCATTGTCTTGTAATAACCGTAGTTCGCTCGGTTTAGTTCAACTATTTCTTTTCCGAAAAAATTTTAGAACGAAATAACTAGATCAACTGGTATTTTAGTCGAAAACAATACCATACGAAATATCTTTTTCTTCATTTCATTTACTACCCTTTCTGTTTTTCACTTACATGAGAACAGTTTGAACGTAATAATTGCTTTAATTTTGACGCACACACACACACATACTATGCAGTAATTCATTTTTGTTTGCTTTTCTGTTCACCGTATTAGCCAACCTTATTAAAAAAAATAACATTTTTTTTATTTTATAACTGAATTGTTGTTGTTTGTATAGTTTATTTTTTTGTGGTGTCTATTGTTGTTGTTGTTGTTGTTGTTTTTCTAGCATTATCTAAATTAAACAATTTTAAAGAGCTTTATTTTCTTGATCTATAACGAAACAACGAAAAAGAGTACATTGCTGTTATTGGTTTCAAGAAATTAAACTGTTTTTCTCCTATTTTAGATTTATTTTACTATTACTCAAGCGTTTTTTTGTACAATGTCAGGAGCATCTCCACCACGTTATAGTGAGAAATATTCTGATAGCCGATATGAATATCGACATGTCATGATATCGAAAGAATTAATACGAACCATACCATCAAATCGTTGTATGGATGAACATGAATGGAGAGCTTTAGGGGTTAGGCAAGGTCTCCACTGGGAACATTATATGGTACATAAGCCGGGTAAACATGTTGTGTTTCGATTTTTAATGTATCTAAAGTCTCAGAATCTCCTGTAAGATCAAACGATTGCACAGCTGATTGCTTTTGAAGTGAATAAAGAATTTTCTGTTTGGTCTATTTTTTGTTGTTGTTTTTATTTATATTTTCTGTTTTAGAACCACATGTTTTATTATTTCGACGCCCTGTTCTTTCTCAATATACTCAGCCTGTTTGTACTGACTTAACAATGAAAATGGCTGATCAACATGCACCACCCGTTGCTGAATTAAAAATTCCGTTACGTCAATTATCTGTCAATACTTCATCAACAGTTTAGACCATTCTAGAAAACAACGGTGTTTGGTCATTTTTTTTTTGTATATTTCAAACTCAATATTGTCTGATATTTTCTTCATATTTTGCTAAGTACAAGTTAGATTTTTATATTTTTGTTTTTACATAATTTTCGTTTTTTCTCTGCCTATTATCGGTGATGTATTTTTTGACCGTTTTTTTCTTCAAAATAGTGATTTGATAAATACATTTTTTTGGTTGTCGTTGAGACATTTATTGTTTGAGTGGAATCTTTACATAATACTTGCCATCACAAGTTAGCTTTTTGGATGTAAGTGAGTTTTTGTATTCAAATCCATCAAGTTTAGGTTCCTGGAGTATTTGATAACAGATTTACAAGCCTTTGGACAGATACTATGGCACGTCATTAATTTTAGTTTTGTCGTACTTTGAGATTGTCGGTTTTTAAATACAACGAGTCTCTTGCTAATTATGCATTTAATTTATTTGTTTATTTATTTCTAGAACAAAACACTCAAAAATCGTTTTATCTAAGCATTTTTTCAGTGCTTTCGTATTATTATTATTATTCATAATCTGTTTTCTTTATTTACTACAGCATTATTGATACCATTACATTGTCGAGATATTGTGATAGAACAAATAATAATGGCCAAAGAAGTAGCAAACAAAGACAAGGAGAGTCAAAAAGAACAAATTTATTATTCTGACACGTATAAGGATGATCTATATGAATATCGTCATGTCATATTACCGAAAGAAATAGCAAAAAAAATTCCAAAAGGACGGTTATTAACAGAAAATGAATGGCGAAATCTTGGCGTTCAACAATCTTTAGGTAAGAAAAAAAATGCTTCTTTTGTCTTCTTACTTCGTGTTTAAAGTAAACAAGGAAAGTCGTGTGATAGAAAAAGATAAATTGGAAATAATTCCAACTTATAAATTTTCCAACATTGAAATAAAGGAACGAGCTTCTAGAGTACGCAGAAACCATGTAGTTATTTTGAGATTCTTTATTCTAGGTTGGGTTCATTTTTTAATTCACGATCCTGAGCCCCATATTCTAATATTTCGTCGTTCGTTGAAGATTAGTCAACAGATCCAACAACAACGTCAACAACAACAACAGCAAGCACAAGCTGCTGTATATCATGCAAATGCGATGCATATGAAATAGCAAAGTCATATTCATTTTCATTTTCTGTATGATTAAAGAAGAAAAATGTTATTTTGTGCTTTTCTTTTACTAGTTATCTACTTATTTTTCATATTTTTTCGCCTTTGTGTAAGTCAGATACTACTCATCATGTGTTCTTACAGGATATGGAATTGTAACTGTGACTGGTGTGTTGTTGATGTTTTCTTGTTTGTCTTGTCTGTTCATTTCTTGGTTTTTATTTTTATGTTGTTGCCTTTTGTGATCAGACTCTGTTATATGTATATAGATATACAGACGAATGATATACTGACAAAGATGCTATGACGTTGTATTTGTATTTTTCTTTTTTCATTCATTAAAAAATGCTTTCTTTTTTTGCTTCTTATGATTAGTGAGGAACATGGCTTTATGTACAGCTAAATCGTGTCTATTTCAAATTTAACTAAGAAAGAAAGTATCGGCGTCGCTTATCTTCGTCGGAAGAATTTTAACATACACATTTTAAAATAATTGAAGGAATGACCAGCAAACGATTAATACCTATCACATGAAAAGCATTCAACACAGCAATATCTTGACCTATGATTTTCAATGGTGTACGGTAGCTAAAAAATGTTGGCTTTATCTGATACATTAATCTCTTTTAGTCTCGATGGACGTAGTGAAACTGGGATTTCTGATCGCAATCAATGTTCACGAGACGAATTTTCTGATAAAAACCGTTACTGTTTTTCGATATCTGACCATTTGTTGAGTGCCACTTTAGAGTACATACGCTTCAAATCTCTTGATGATTTGTTTTATATAATAGCCCTTGTAGTTGAAGACAGTTCACATGACTGCAGAAGTTTGGTTAGTTCCGGCGTCAGGAAAGTGAGAAGGACAAACTAGTGAAAATAAATACGCTTCATCAATCAACTGTGACTACACTCTAAAAAAAAACGGTATTTCAAAAAACCCTAAAAAGTATTCTCCATTTGAGAAAAACCAAAAAAAAGTATAACCACATGTGCAAAACGTTTAAAGGGTATAACCATTTGAAACATATCATAACTGTTTAAAAGTTTCTTATTCTTATCAAAAAACTAATTTTCGTTTTCTAAAATACGGCTGAATTATATTCTGAAAAACGGTTGAGGTTTCTTCATATCACAAAAAAACCTTTCAGGTATTTTAAAATACCAAATCAATTTAGGATTTTTTAAATCACGGCTTTTTCATATTCTAAAAATCCCAAAGGAGTTTTCGGATAAAAGTAAAAAACGTTTAAACAGTTATGATATGGTTCAAATGGTTATACCATTTTTCGTATTTTATAATACCTTTATTTTTTAGAGAGCACTGGAGTGGGAGTGGACAGATTCCAACTTTACTGCAGTGTCGGACCCATCCTGATCGGGATCGTGTAAACACGGTTGATCCCGATCCGATTCCAAAAAGCAGCCTGAAAGAGCTTCGGTACGATGTACCGAACGCCGGCTTTCAAACCGACGAGAACAGATACTGCACTTTGGTCTTTTCTTTTTATTACAAAATATCCGAAAAACACAAATAAAAACACTCGTATTGCTGAATTACATGATCTGATAGAAGAAGATAACTCGTGGTGCTTGATCATTGATGTGTACTTGTTGTGTGATCCATGATTCGTGTCTGATCGTGAACATTCAAAAATTAGACCACACAATGTAGTATCTATGAAATATTTCTATTTAATTATACTTGTTTATAAGTTTCCAACTCGACTTTGAACTTTTCATCTCGGAATGTGGCATTAAGAACAATATAGTGGATAATGTAATACATCATCATCACATCGTTGATAATCCCTAATATAGGCTGTAAATATTATGTGTGCCTGGAATATCATGTATAATAGGAAACATTGAATTATTCATAGAATATATTGCACATTGAAACAATGTTCATGAAATACATTTTCATAGTGATCATGCACAATTTTGAAGCCAAATTGTTGTAACGAAATGACCCTATCCAGATAGTGTGAAAGTTATACATGTAAAAAGGAAAAACATTGGAAATACATAGCAAAACATATTAATCTAACATTTATATAAACAGAATTAAACTGTCTAGGACTACTAACACAATTACAATTACTTTCAAACGAGGACTCTGGAAAAAAGCTCTTTCAAGCTGCTTTTTGGAATCGGATCGGGATCAACCGTGTTTACACGATCCCGATCAGGATGGGTCCGACATTGCAGTAAAGTTGGAATCTGTCCACTCCCACTCCAGTGGAACACATTGTAAAACAGTGAAATAATCAAAAGAAGCCTTGAGAAAAGTCGGGTAGTCACAGTTGATGGATGTAGTGTATTTACTTTCACTAGTTTGCCCTTCTTACTTTCCTGACGCCAGAACTAATCAAAGTTCTACAGTCATGTACGTTGACCGAGATGATGATTCGTTTCGTATTTTAACGCACTGATAGCGATTTGATAAGTAAGAATGAAACCACTCAAAAGCTCTACTACAAATTCTGAAACCTTGCCATTTGGTATGAAGGACAGAATGAGGAACACGATCAAAGGCTTTAGATAAATCAAAACTTAAACCAGTGCACTGTCTTCAGCTACAAGGGCTTATTATATAAAACAAATCATCAAGAGATTTCCAACAATCAAGAGAAAAATCTCGAAAAACCGATTTTTCAGAAAAATCCTGATTATCTCGCGATCTTATCATTTTTCGATCTCACCAATACGATTTTCGGATTCAGCATTGCGAAGTACATCTAGGCACTTGTCATTCGATGACTTTTCTTCAAGACTTAAAGTCTTGTCGCTGATCAAACACTGATCGCTCGAACCTTGAGGTTCTCACCGCGCAATGCTATCTAGTTTTGTGCCATGAGAGCTAGAGAGTTCTTTCATACGTCAGAAGATTCGCCTTGCCTTGCTCCACAAAAGTATGCTTCGTTTTTTTCAAAACGTTTTTCCTTTCAGGAGAAATTAGAAAAAAACTGAGAAAGTGCGAGTTTTTCGCAAAATCCTTCAGTTGATGAGCCCATAAGTCAGTGATATTTCCACTTTGAGCACTGCTATTGTGGTTTTCTAGGAAAAAGCGGTGCTGAATACGTTAGAAGTGCGTTTGAGAGGTTTGGAGTTTCCCAGTAGGTTTTGCAAAAATCAAAACTCTGAGAAACTTTCGAGAGCCTTTTGGAAATCTTTTTCGTCCCAAGCACATCGTATCGACATAGCGTCAAATTCTGAGCAAAATGAGACGACCTCGAGTCTTCTAGGGCATCTCTAGGCTGAGATAAGGCCAGTTTACTTTCAGTGATCCGGCTGACTCGAAATCCTTTAGGAGATTTGCCAATAACGACTTTATAGGCGGAGTTATTGGCAAATCTGTTACTGGAGGGCACAATGATAGATACGATATGTTTCTAAAGAATGCTTTCCGCTGTTCGCGATCTGCCGGTGCGTAAATACTCATGAATGCAACAGGTTGATGATCAATGATCATTTTAGCAAGGCTATTCTTCCATCAGAATCAATACCAGAATCAATGGTTTTATATGTTGGACGGCTCAAGATGCCTGTTCCACCACATTTCCATGTACCCATACTACATTGAACCCATGTACATTTTACATTGAAGTCGTAAAAAATATCTTTAAACACCGTGAGCTGCTCCTTTTTTGTCATATGTAGCTCTTGGAGCATAACGATACCAGGTTTCATTTGGGTGACATAATAACGAAACCTATTCAATTTATGTGATGAACAGACACCTGCAATATTATATGTAAGAACAAATACCATTTGAAATGAGAGAATATACGAAAATATAAAATCTGAACTGTACAAAAGTTACCTGAATGAACTGTTATATGAGACAAATGGGTACTCATTCTAAACTGAGGAAGGCTGCTCTTCCTCAGGTCAGCAACAGACTACGAGCAGTGGTAAACACATTAGTTCACGTGCTTTAGTTCCAAACGTGCTCGATTCCGGGTAGAACAATACAAGATAATGTGCACTTAATCAGGTCGATTATTGAGCATTACTCAAGGAACCGCGAGCTACTGGGTATCATTTTATGGGATCAAGAAAAGGCTTTTGACCGAGTCAATCACCGTTACCTCTTCGAGATGTTGCGGAGTTTGGGATTTGGGCAAAAGTTCATGCGTTGGATAAGGCTAATGTACACCGGTGCCACTTTTCGAATCAAAATAAATGATTCGATAACACAACCTATCAATTTCGAGTCTGGAGTGCGACAAGGTTGCTCGGCATCTGGTATTATATATGTAGTATGCCTGGAATCTCTATTACATGGTATCAGGAATAATCCTAAAATACCAGGTATCATTCCATCAGGTGTACAGTATCAGGTTGTACGAGAGAAGGCTTTCCCTTATGACGGAGTCGATAGCACAATAAAAACAATAGCATAGGCGGATGATACTGACATTATCGTCTTCAACAGAGATGAGGAAATGGAGACTATCAAAATGTTTCATCTTTACAACAAGGCATTAGGTGGAAAAACGAATGTTGAGAAGACAGAGGTTTTCTCGATTAGTGACTGGCTACCACCATCAGCATTCCAAGGTCAAGTTAAACTTGACTGGTGCAGGTTCTTAGGTGTGCCGATTGGCAAACGGGAACGTTTTCCACCTTCTGAATTAGTTAAACTCAAAATGTCTTTTAAACAAAACTTGGGATGTGGTCGCAAATTAGCCTCTCTCATTTAGAGAGGTGTACAATATTGAAAGTTTTCTCTCTTAGTTGTATTGTCTACCGTTTTTCCCTCACTACAATCCACTCAACCACCATAAATGAACTGCAAAGGATCGCAAATGCATTTGTATGGCGAGGAAAACACCCCACAATTAGGTTTAAAACTATAATTGGAAAAAAGATAGATGGAGGATTTGCCTTATTAGATATTAAAACAATGGTAGAAGGATCTAGAATTAAATGTGGTCTACGCCTAATGTCTGATACTCCAGCGAAGTGGAAATTTTATGCTCTGCAGTCCGAATA